CCCGGAAGTGAAAGCAGAGCCAGAACTAGCTCCGACCCCTCAGAACTATGCCTCAGCAGGCATTTCAAGTACTGCATCGATTCTTCATCCACCAGGAAGACGAGTGCTGTAGAAAATTCTATGTGTCTTCAGGACAAGGTCAGGTCAGTTCTGTAAAAAGGAGACAGACCAAGGTGACAGACTTTTTTGTTAATGTAGGCTAAATATATTTTACAGTAGAATATTATTTTGTTATTGTACAGTACACATGTTTTAATTGTACAGTCATTTTTTTATGCTGTATTGCTTATATTATTCTTTAATAAATTTATGTGGTGTACAATACAGTGTTAATTCATTTATATTCGTTTTGATAAATTTTTTAAATTAAAATATGTTATTTCGTACAGTATTATTAATATTACAGTACCGAATTTTACCTCTCTCTGTATAACGATCTCTCCTTATAACGATGAAAATTCCCGGTCCCTTGCACAGCGTTATAGGGAGAGAGGACTGTATTATTTTGTATCAATTTTAAGGTAAATATTTGATCCACTGTCGATCTTCCTGCTTTAAACCCTGCTTGGTATTCACATAATATGCCATTCTCGTATTTTTTCAATCTCTTACGTATGATCTTTGCTAATATTTTGTACACAATATCCTTTTGTCACTTTTCTTATGTATTGGGCAAATTATGGCATTACACCATCTCTTTGGTATTTTCTCCTCTCTCCACACTCTCAGTATCAAATTACATAGCTTTCTTTGCAGTGTGATTCCTCGTTCCTTTAAAATTTCAGCCGGGATTTCATTCTCCCCTGCGCTTTTACCCCTTTTAAGCCATTTTATTGTTTCCTTCATTTCCTTTTCTGTTGGTTCCTCTACGTACTCCTTATCATAATCCTCTTATTGGCCCATTGCCTCATCTCTTTGCATCTGTTCTTCATTATTTAGCAGTTCTTCAAAATATTGTGCCCATCTGTTTAATTTCTCTGCAGTATTTCCTAGGAGCAGTTTCTTTATTCCTACAAAAAACTGTTTGCGTGTTATTTGTTTGTCTGATTCTCTTTACTTTTTGATAGACATTTTTTATTTTTATTTTTTGCTAATGTAATGCTCTTCTAGTGTTTTCAATTTTCTTTCCAAACATTATCTCTTTTTTTGCCTGCAGATTCTTTTAGCTTCTTTTCTTTTCGTTTCATGTTCTATAATTGTTTCTTGGGTTCGATTATTGTCTGTTTCATCTTTGGCTTATTTCTTAGCATTAGTGCTCTTTTACATTCCCCGTCGAACCAGTCTTATTCTCTCTTCGCTCCTGTATTGCCTAAGCAAACATTAGCTGCTTCTGTCATTAATGTCTCGATTTTACTCCATTCTTCTTCCAATGATTCCAATTCTTTCTCCATTACCTATATAGAAGAAATGTTGCACACAAACATAGTGTACCGACCAATGCATTAAACACAACCGCCCTAGCCAAACATTATTTAGAAAATAGCCATTCTTTTGAGATTGACAATGTACAGATATTAGAAAAAGAACAAAATTACAACAAAAGATGCATACTGGAGATGATTCACATAAAAAAAGATCCAAATCCTATCAATAATAAGACTGACATCAAAGATCTTTCCAATATTTATCATAATTTAATAAATTGAGTTGTTTTTAAATGCAGCATGGCAGATATTTTAGATACGACCCTGAATCACTCCTGTTTTAAAATACCTGCCAGATATTTCCTGTCTCCTCAATGTGATTGTGGAGGAAGCTAAACGATCAAAAAAATTGTTGGGTTCCCCACAAGATCTTAAAACTTACACAGTCAATAGAATATATTAATTTGCTTAATTTTTATTTGTAACTGATTAAAGTTTGACATATACCTGTATTATTAATGTCATAATGTTTCTAAAGTTGTTGGAATTGGCATACGGTAAATACCCGTATCTTTCTGTTTTCTCAGTGTAGATTTATCCTGAAACCATGCGGGTGACGCTCGCCGGAATTTCCTTGTCAATTCTCATTATCAAATCGAAATTAGGTATTAAGATTTTCTTCTCCATAGACGCCCATAATTTAGGTAGCAACCAAGAATGAACTTTGTTTATTTTTGGAGGGATATCCGATACTTCATCTCCTAATTAACTTCCTCGTGTTTATTATTTTTGTTAGTTGTAATAACACAATATAAAAATGGAAATTTTTCTTTAATTAAAAAGTATATTTAGACATAAAAGAAATAAGGAAAAGGTGAGTTAAATATAAAATTGTTGTGTATAGACTTTAATCTTTATCTTTACTGTTATCAGTGGCGCACTTAGGGGTTTGGGGATTAAATCCCCTCCCAGGGCACTATTCCGACACACTGTTACTCACAAATGTTAAGCACTCAAACTGGAGGTAGCATAAAAAAATCGGTGCCCAACCAAAACCCCCCACAGGAAATTCTAGGTGCGCCACTGACTGTTATTTATTACAACTTGTATCCAATTGTCCGATTTCTGTCTTGCTAATCTTTATCATCATTACCGTCAGCATCTAAACATTCCGTATATGTATTTAGCACCTAGTCCTTTTTTTATTGGTCTTTTGTTGCACGTGGCCATGTTTCAACCAATAGGCGGTGAGGTGCCAAATACGTATATGGAATGTTGGTTTGGTGCGAAATTCATATGCGGAATATTAAAAGAGAAGAGAGAAACTATGAACAAAGAACTTCAATTAAATACGTGATCGGATGATTCACGTCTGGAGTGGCTGCTTCGGACGGCAGTTGAAACGTAAGAGTGAGATTTTTGTGTGCAATTTTTCGCAGAGTCAAATTTTGGGCAGCAGGAACACCAGATATCATAAGTGTAATTGGCGAGCAAAATCTTAATTTTGAATTAACTGAAAGCCTTTCATACCATCGTCTATTCGCTAATACAAAAGAAAAATATTTTTCTTATTTTGTTAATGGAATGGGATTTAAAGAATCTCTAGCTTATAACGAATCCAAATTAGAATTTAAAATAATTGACTTTGACAGTAAACTTGTAGCAAATTTAGAAATTAATCAAAAATATTGTACAGTGCAGTATTGGCACAGTATATGAAGAACTGAAAATTTGGAACTTCGTGATGGAACTGGAGTTTTGGAGGTAAAGAGAGTCTCGGTAAAAGTCTTTAAAAATACTGAGCTTTTCATTTTTTTTTTAAATTAAACAAAAAACTGAGGCTTATGAATCAGAAGGAATTTTAGTAAAATATAATGAAAACCCGTTAGCCGTCATTGTTGTAACACGTATTATGCAACGAGCCCAAAATCTTCCAATTGCAAAAGATGTTTTTACAGATATCATAGCTTCTTGCGATGCATTAAACCATTCAGTTTTGTTTATGTTAACCCCTTGTAGAATAGGGCAGTGCATTTGGCAGTTATTATTGCCAAACGTCAAACAATTGAAGATTATGCTGCAGTATACCATCTGCTGAAAGGGTCGATACCAAATGCCTTCGGTACAATGGGTTATCCTAAAATATTTATTACAGATGGTAATGACGCGGAAAGAAAAGCATTAAAACGTGTTTGGCCAGCATCAGAAACACTTTTATACCATTTTCATATATGCCAATCAATTTGACGCTGACTGTGTGAAAAGTGGAATGGAATACCCAAAAGACGAACGACAATTTTTATTCAAGACATTTCAAGCTATATTATTAGCATTGACTAGAAAGAATGCCACAGAGTCATTTAAGATTATTCTTGAAAACTAACGATTTCCGCAGTGGAAGAAATATATTACTGAATATTGGAAAAGAAAGGAAAATTGGTGCCTCGCTTAGAAGGACGCATCAACACGTGGCCACCAAATCGGATGCTTATCGTCATTGGTTCTACGACCCTAGTTGTGTCGTGCTATAGAATTGGCAAATAGCTTCTTGGGTGACAAAAGTTTTGACGTTTGTGTATGGTAATGAAAATTGTCTTCTTGTGGATTTACATTAATTCCAGAAAAAATGTACTGGTTGTATAATACATTACGTTGTAGTATCAAATAATCTAGAAGCAACATTTTCAGATGGAAATTATGAATATATAATAAATGAAAATAAAATTGTTAGAGATTGCCTGCCTTGTCTTTTTTGACAATGAATAAATTTACCAGATTTTTCATTCTTATTTGAAGTAGATTTACATAAGCCAAAATTTTCTATTGATATAGCCTAAGAAATATAATATTTAGCCTTGTTTCAAAGGAATAACCTCAAAATCAGGTACACGATTTTTGTGAAGTGCAAATGTTTTTATAAAGAGCCACTTTATAAAAAGTATTGTTGTATTTTTTATTATATTTCTAATTTATTGTCTTTATTCTAATTTATTAAAACTCACGATAATTTATCAAAAGTCTCTATTTTATACTAATTTATTTTTACACTTAATTATTACAAATAATTTATTTGCGTTCGTTACAATTTAACGCGAGATCGCGACCTTCTTTTTGACTGCCTGCTCAATGAAAATCTTCCGTTATTTATATGAAACCAGCTGGTAAACAGAATGTTGTAGAAAATACGATGCCGTTCTCGACGTTGACACAGCGGCAATTATCTAAAAACTGGTATGTTTTGCATCGGCTCGTCCCCAGAAAGTTCGATTGTTGTTTTATTTGGCGAAGGGACCCAAAGGGTGTCAGGTAGATTTTTGACCTAGAAATTACGAGAATCAATAAAAAAGAATTAGTCATAAAATATTTACAGTTCTATACGCCATAACATTTAAAATCGTAACAGTATATACCGTTAGTTTTATGTAAAAACGATCCATCAACCTCTCATTTAAAATGTATTGTCTCGTGTTTTAAAACAACTTAGCTGTTATTTTGACAATACTCCATAAGACACTTTTTTACTATAAATGAAAACTTTTGTATTGTTTAAAATATTAAGTTCTTAAGGTTTTTATTTGAAACTTTCTCTATATTAATTTTTAAAATGGATTTTAATTTTTATGACGTTCTTTTCAGACGTCTTCATCGTTACCGTGGGCTACAGACCGACACGAACCACGAAACGAAGACGTTTCCTCACCTCCCACAAAGAGAGCGCGCAGTTCAGATCGGATGGGCAATTACACACCCGATAGGGGGCGAAGCCCAGCCAGAGTTGTTAGCGGCAACAACGGTCCCGAAGCAGAATCGGAAACCCTCCTAGGACAAGCCCTAGAAGGATCTGGTACGCCTATGATTAAAGAAGTAAGTTATTCGGTCTAATAATATAGAGAAAATCGCTATCCTCGACCGTCCTCTTGTTCTTTTTCTCACTTATCCTCCTCATCTTTAGTCTTCTCATCTTCTTCTTAAGGTGCCTTCTCCATTACTGAAGGTTGGCTATAACTACAGCAAATTGCTCTCTATCTTGAGCTGTTCTTAGTATCGCATGTGTGTCCATGCCTGTCCAGTCTCTTATGTTCTTCAACCAGGAGCATTTTCTTCTTCCTGGACCTCTTCTTCCTTCCACTTTCCCTTCCATTATAAGTCGTAGGAAGTTGTATTTTTCTCCTCTGTAGATATGTCCTAAATAACTCGTTTTTCGGTTTTTTTACAATATTTAGGAGTTCTCTGTCAGTACCCATTCTTCTTAGCACCTCGTTGTTGGTCACGTGCTCTGTCCAAGAGATCTTCAGCATTCTTCGAAAAACCCACATCTCAAAGGCTTCTATACGCCTCATACTTGTAATTCCGAGAGTCCATGTTTCCACTCCGTATAGCAATATGGAATAAATAAAGAGTCTTCTCATATCCTTGATAATTGCACAGATAGATAAACAGTAAAAAATGCTGATAAAAAGATGAAATTTTGATGTTTTTCTTTAAAAGTGTTATATTATTAAAACAAAAGTTAAGAAAAACAAACAATATATAAAAATTTCAAAAAGCATTTGATGTGGGGTTAAAAAGAGAAAATTGTTTTAAATTATAAAACACCTAATGGTCCAGACGGGACATTTTTCACATTTGGTCCTGGTGAAGATAGCCTTAAATTAGCTGTCAATTAAGCTCCACAAAAAGAAATATTGCATTGGCAGTGTTGCCATGTTTTATAATGTATATGATTTAAATACAGAGAGAAAAATTAATTATTATTTATAACTGGGAATAAGCCACAATTAAAGATAAAAATACGTTTATTGACGTTTCAATTTCCAATATAAATATACGTCAATAAACGTATTTTTATCTTTAATTGTGGCTTATTCCCAGTTATAAATAATAATTAATTTACAATGCCACAAGAAAATAGCTTCAGAACAATACAGAGAGAAAAAGTTATATAAAACACAAATGAATTAATATTTGTTTCTTTAATGTTTAAATTGTGTATAAATTGCAGTTAATTATTAAAAAATTTATTAAATTTTCCTTTGTTTCTCTTTGTTCTTAAATTTTATCCAATTTTTAGGTGTTATTTTACAACTTTTCCTAGCTTTGCTCTTATCAATGATCTTTAAATAAATTATTTCATACCGTGATAATTAAATAGTGATTTGTTGTTTTCAGAAAGGCAATTCAGAATCATCAATACAAGCCCAGTCGACGGGCGAAGACAGCAATAGTAGTGATACAGCCATGAGCGACCATGGCGACGATCCCGTTACCCCAAAGACTGAACCATCCGAATACCCCATGTTAGACGATCATCATCCATTTAGCACGAACGGCGGAATAATGGACCCGACGCGGGGGCCAGGCGGATTTCACAATGCACTTTTAGGACTTCAAGGTAAATATTTGCCATCATTTGTTTGTAAGAGTAAGCAACATAGATATGGTTATTATTTTTATATAAGTTTTTGTATGTTTGTTCGCTGTTTCTAGTGTAATTTCGAAGCAAGCACAAGGGCGATTCATGAAAGGAATAGAAGAAACAACGTTACTGGGAGAAACCGTATCAAGACAGGTAGGCAGAGGTTGTCCGTATGGGTAGTCTTATCTGTTCTCTTATGACAGGAAGAAAAAATGCTGCTAACAAAGCTTTTCACTAAAAATGATTACCCATTGTCATTTATAAACGAGAAATTGCATAATGTTTAAGAAAGAAAACAATAAAATACCACAAGCAATCCAGAAACACTCACAAGAAGGAATTAAAGTAAACGATACGAAATAGATAACCCTGATAGACCTGGAAAAAGCTTATGACTACATACCAATTTCTTAGTTGTGGAAGGAAATAATAAACTTAAGAATATACTTAACACTTATTAGGGTAATACAAAAAGGCTATGAAGGTAACTATGCAAGAATTAAAATAAAAAATGATATCACGACAAGGATTTAAGCCAAGGTTGATGATTTATCAGATTGCTAAGCAGATTCCTGGAAAATTGGCTAAGAAAATATTAGAATATGTGAATAATGGTGGAACAAGATACACATTTTAGATTTTTCTTCCCGCATGGCCAAACGGGCCAAACCAAGATGAGAATCTATAAAACCTGACAGTGATGAGAATTAGACCTATGACAGTGAAGCATGGTTCCTGAAAGAAATATCCAAAAGCAAACTCGACATATTCTAAAGGAAAGTACTGAGGAGAATACTAGGACCTGTGAGGGAAACGGAATCTTCAGAAGTCGATACAACAACGAGCTTTATAAACTTTATAAGAAAGCAGCACTGTCAGACTTCATTAGAATAAAAAGATTGCAATTGGCGGGATATGTGATAAGAACGGAAAAGGATAGGCTACCAAAAAGAGCACTGAATGCTAGAGTGTAGCGAAAGAGATCGGTTAGAAAGTCAAGAAAGCGCTGGGAATACACAGTAAACAGCGAGGCACAAGCTGTTTTAGGAATCCGTGTATGGAGAAGATCAGCCACAGACAAGCAAGGGTGAAGGCAAAAAATAAACTAGGCCAAGGCTCAATTTGGGCTGTAGTACCGTAGAAGAAGAAGAAGAAGTATATAAAAGTTATGAATCGCGAGAGGGCAACTGTGGCTGTAGCCTCGACAATAGACAGGTATAATTGTGCAATGGGATCGGGAAACCACAGAAAACCGATCCCTCCCTGTCTAGCAAGCTCGAAGTGAGCGTTTAGTGATAACGGCGATAATAGAATAGAGTTGCCTCCAGGATATCAACGTATATCAGTGAGCAGTTGCTGGCAAGGGCCGGCAATTTAGTGGGTGGCAATGGGAGTTTGCGTTTAGAGCGTCTTTTCAATACATTGCCAACGGATGAGCAGGTAGTTTTGATGATATTTTGGGCTCTGAAGTTTTGGCCACGGATGATTATAACTCCTGCTCAGAGAGGAGAGCTTCTCATTGATGGGCTAATCGATTGCTTGAAAATCACCTGTATTTATGCATTTGAGTTCCTACTCACAAAGTAGTGGGGGCAATTCTCAAAACAATTGGCCAATAGCAGATTGGTAAACGAATCCCAAATTAATATTACTTTGATTGATCATATAAAGTGAGAATGGATGCGCACAGTACGTTGATTGGCCAGGGCCCTAGCTAGCGTACAGCGACACTCTCTTCTCTGACTGAAGACAATCAGACGGAATATGAAGAAAAAAAGTATATCATAGAACTGTAGTTCATACAGTTGTACCATAAGGTTTACAAGTATGGGTAGTTAAAAACGAACAAATTCAAAAAAAATTCATAAAGGAAACAAAATATCGCATAATAAATAAGGAGATATTCGAAATAATTAAAGAGAAACAATTAGTAAAAATCTATATAAAAGTAAATATATTTTAGAATTTTTCGTGATTTTCTTCTTACATATTAGCATTTTTAAACACGTATAAGTGGTAGAGTATTAATTGTATGTATTTCTACTAAAGTTTTGCCAAATTGTTATCCAGATTATGATCAGAAAAGAAATAAATTGTATGAAATCGGGACTTATGAATATATACGATATTTATGAACGATAATTAAGTAATTTTCGTGACTGAAGCCTGTTTGTGACATACATTGAGCAGAGTTATATGTAAATTATTACAAAAGAAACAGTTTTTGATTTAAGTAGAAAGTATACAATAAACTATTGTTTGTTTCAGGATTAGGAGGACTTATGCCGGGACCTTCGGGAATGCACAATAGTCCTGACAATTTTGGTAAGTAAATTTTCATTAAATAAGTAAAAAATGATCCAATTTTGGACCGTTTTGTTAGTCTCACAACTAACCCTCTTTCAGCCTTTAATAGGTTGTTTTATCGGGATATCATTACTATATTTAATACAATAATCGATTCTCGATAGAAAGAGGAAAATTTTATGTAGAGTTATGACTTAACAATTGCGTGTTGCCATGTTTCCGAATTGGGTAATTTTAATATACAAATATTTCTTACCCTTTTCTATTTGTTTGAGTCTTTCATTTCTTTCAAATATTGTTTATCAGTAATCTTCAGTAATTATTAGTTACACAGTTTAAATATCCCAGATCTGTTCTTTTTCTTTTTTTATATTAGGCATTAGAGACCTTAAAAGCCTTCTAGGCTTGTTTTATATTGTATATTCTGATATTAACGGTTGTCTAGAAACCACTATACAACAAAAACAGTGTGTAGAATAAAAATGGAATTATATCAAAGACGTAGTGCTGAATGTGCGAAAAGAACATGCGAGAAAGAGAACAAGAATAACAATTAAGAACAAGAAATCAATAGAACAATCAAGAAAGAATTGGCAGCCAAGGAGATATGGATGCAAGAAAAATGTAAACTAATTGAGGAACTCCAAATAAAATACAAAATTTGAATACTTTTCTTTTCCTTTGTTCTTAGATTCCGAGTACGTCCAGGTACACCCGAAACTAGTTCAAGCCCATAATTTTCGGTAATGGTGTTCCAGGCCTGTAAAACTGACCGAATCAAACTTTCTTTATCTCGTGGCGCTGCTCGTTCCACTTCAATCTTCATCAGTCCACATATGTGTTCAATGGGGCTAAGATCTGGAGATGCTGCTGGCCACGGAATTGTTACCAATTCGTGTTCTTGCATCCAAGCTTGAGTATTAGCAGAAGTATGGCATCTTGCATTATCTTGTTGAAAACGCCACCCCTCTTGATATAAAACATGAGCCGTTTCAAGAAGGAAACAATTTATGATGTCACAATATTTCGCACTATAGCACTATACAGAGAGGTGTAGCACCACGCTGAGATATTGTTTCCCAAACTATTATTTTAATGGAAAATTTAGATATTTGAACGGTTACATTTCCTTTTGATAGGACTTTTATATGATTTGCACCAAGCTGGAAATAACTTTCATCAGATATAAAGACATTATTAAAATTATCTTCTCGAAAACGTTGATAAAAATAAATTCTTCGTTGCCTTTGCAGAAATATCATTGTAGGGATTTTTTTGGATTCCTTGATATGTAGCCTTGCTTTTTCAGTGACATTCGGACAGTTTTTAGGCACACTTTAATTCTTCGTTAATTTCCAAATCTGTTCGCTAATTTTCGAAACCCTAGGTGCGGATTTTGTCGTCCTAAAGCCACTAAAGCATTTAAACTGTTTCCGCGAATCTTACGCGGTCTATCCGAAACTGGTCATCATATCTATGCCATTTTTTATCCTCTTTATTAGTGCAGTGTCTTATACATTGCATTTTTTCCGAATTCAGTCAATTACAGTAATTTTTAACGTTTCGGATACCCTTTCTATACAAAAATTCCACCACTTTTCTTTTTTCTACTTGCGACATTATTTCACAAATCTTAAGTCTGTTTACAAACAACAATATTTGACAGATGGTGTTATGCGATTTTGTCCATAACGTACTATCTGCACAACCTACTTGATGTATTACTTTTGTCTTAAAATGTTACAAAAAGGAAATATTAAAATTAGGAAAGTATAAAATTCCGGATACTTTCTAGACGGACTATAAATCTTTTCTTTGCATCATTATCGAATCTCGACCTCTTTTACCATATTCAAAACATATGTCACTTAATAGCCTACGAAATGTGGATTTTTAAAAAAGCTGGTAGGTCCGTATCATCCTTGACTCAAAATTATGGACAATTTTCCTTATTCCTTATTACGTGAATTGGACTGGAAACTGTTTTTTTTTTTTGTACCAGTTTCAGTTCGCCTTGCTGTATCTCTTCGCGGATGTCATAAATTTTGTGAAAACTCACACCGCACATTTTCGAAACTCTTTCCACAGTAATAGTCAAGCTGTCACCATTTTTTAAGTTCAGATGATAGTTGAATACATTTAACACCACACGTTTTACTTGCACACTAAGTGTCATACCCTGTTTGAAATTCACGACATATGGTACCAACGGCTCCATGATGTAGGTACTTTCATCCACTTGCAAAAATGAAATAGAACTAAAGACTTGTTTACACGGTAGAGTTGTGAGGAGAATAGAGTAGCGAGTAAAGTCGACTCTACTCGCTACTCTACAAAAATGGCTTGATACAGTTCACACGAGAGAGTTACAAGTATATTACTGATGCTAGTATAGTGTGGAGTGGGTGTTTGTTTAGTGCAAAATAAATCCAAGAAAAAGAAAATTGATTCAAAATTGTTTAGCTACAGTTGCAAATGCATTTCACACATAATGAAGTGAACTTCATTTTCACTTTTTACATAAAACACAACTCTAGCCGGAATGGCAGCGTTCCTATGCACTCTCCTACCTACTCTACTCTACCAGAATTGACCGCATTCCATGAGTAGAGTGCGCGGGCGAGTGGACATTTTGGCAGTGGTGGTTGTAGTAGACTAGAGTTACTTTGCCACATGGACATGTTGTTAGTCCATCGAGCAATAAGACAAAAGAGGGAATCTAATCCTTATGAAAAGGAGACCAAAAAAGTGGCCTCTGATGGCGGACATATCCGGAAATGCGAATGCGCGAAATTTAAATTTTGCGACACTTATCAACAGTAGCTATATAATATTTTTCAGAATGTGTCTTAGACGAGAAAGTTTTAATTAATTATTAATGATAAGAGTCTAAAATGCGACACAATTGTTAAAAAACTTCAATATAAATAAGATTTCATGTGACATTTGGGACAAACAACAACATAACCCAACTAAATTTGATGTCAAACAAGGAGAGAGACTCTCTATCCTTGTTTAAAGTGGCCTCTAAAGATCGCACTTCCTGTCTAACAATATGTTTACCCCCACTACCTTTACATTCCCTCTATTGTCTTTTTGCTCAATGTGTTAGTCACTCTACTCTACTACCCACTATGCACTCTACTGCGCTGAGCGTTTTTACGGGTAGAGTTACTCTACTCTACCAAGTACTTGCATCGTTACTCTACCCGTGTAAACGGGTCTTAAGCTTTCATAGTTTTTGCCAACAAGTTTTTGGTCTGATGGCCAGTACCCAAATCGACAAAGAGACATGTTTGCTTTGCGTGGACAATGGGGATTAAACTGATTTGCTTCTCCTTATGACTTTATGATGATCTTTATTTCCCAAAGAATGTGTTTACAATGGAAGCTATTGAAAATTGAAAAATATAGATAAGCTATGAACAATGAGATTTTTATATATTTTACTTTTTTTATAGTATTTTTCTCCTCTTATTTATACATCGATAATTGAATCATGCTTTAGTTGAAACAATAGTGATAGTATGTTATACTAGTATGTAGTCAATTGTGTGCACGTATATTCCAGTACTAGGATTCTTAAATCCGGTCCTGATGCGCCGCTCGGGGCAAACTGGCAACGTGGTCTCCCGTAAGAAATACCTTGCCTATCTTACCTGCATTGCATTTTAACTGTGACTTCTACTATAGCTTTTTTTATTGTGATTTATATCTTCTTATATTCTTAGTATAAATACTGTTTTGAGTTTATTATTAGATATTGTTGCTGTGGCATATAAAATTGTCGGATTATTATTTTTAGTTAACCACAAATACAATATCTATAATGTGTTTAACAAAATTCAGTATGTTTATTAACGGAGAGAGATACTTTAAAATCAATAGAAAAAATCCCTTTGGCTGTTTTGACAACGTTAACCCGCGAAAATAATGTTTTCGTGAACATTTTCGATTTCTAGATGTGGATGAGTATAAAAGGAAATGAACACGTTCCAGCGGATATTCGGGCGACTCCAGAGAAAATCCAGAGAAAGTGTGGAAAATGGAAGAAAGCTGTTTATCAGCTATCTCGAGCCAGTGTTCGAAAAAAGAAGCAAAAATAAGTGTAATCTTGGCCTTCAACCGACTTTTCACTAAAATAGGGAAATGGGAAATTTCTGCTTCGGAAAATCCTAATGCTACTTCGGTGGATAAAATAATTCTTTTATGGGCGACAGTTTAAATTGCGTATGTCAAGCAATTTCAACAGAAACTACTAATATAATTATTATATATAATTTTTTGGCTATTGGGCATTGGGTAATAGTAGCCATCCAGCCAGCAGCAAATGCGTAATAAAGTCAATGTAGAGTATAATACAAAAAGTATTTACTCCCGGTAAAAAAGACGTAATTAATCAATCTGTTTATGATACAATCGTTGCCATTGATCAATAAAAGAAAATGTTTTTCAATTTCACTTTGAATTGCATTGTTAATGGCTAAATGTTTAATTCGTAATATTAGTTATACCTAACAATTTTTTTTGTTTAACAAAAGCTTCCATGTTATATTACTAAAAAAATTAAGTCGCTAAATTATTTTATAACTTACCTGAAGAAGCTCAATTCCTGATAACTCATCCCAGCAACTTCCCAGGTATTTTATTTCCATTACTTGTTCAATATTGATGCCATTAATTTCTATTTTACATCTGGTTGGTTCTTTGCTGACTACTATTGTTTTAGTTTTCTGAAATGAGATTGTCATATTAAATTCTTTTGCTCTTATGTTAAATCTGTGGACCAGTCTTTCCAGATCTTCATCTTGGGCTATCAATATTGCGTCGTATGCGTAGCAGAGTATTTTAATTTTGTTGTTTCCCATTTTATATCCTCTTCCTTTGTTAATATTTTTGATGATTTCATCCATGATCAAATAGAAGAACATAGGGGCTCTATAAATTCCCTTCTCTTATTCCGCTGGCCATTTCTATAGGTTCTGTAAGTTGGCCATCTATTCTGACTTCCATTTTGT